GAAACATGGAACTTAACTTAATGCAAGAAATCTTAAACTATGAAGAAAAATATTTAATACCCATTTCAAAGCATGAAAATGAAGAAAGCTTAAAACAACAATGGTGAAAACTAAAATACTCAACTAAACTTGTAAAGCACTTGAAATAAATGACATTAAAAGTAAATAATGAAGCTTACAAGAGTCTTACAATAAACTACAAGTGAAACAATAGAAGAAAATGCAAAAAATCCAAGTTTTATATCTACCATTCATCATCTTCCTCCTTGGAGCTTTCTAAGCTTAGGTAGCCACACCCTAAATCTTGTGGAATGCTGAATATATGTTGAAGAAGCCTTTCATTTTCGTCCATTGGGTCCTCTAGCATGTGTGTGCAGGCCTCCCATCAATAGGACGTGAGTGGATGGCTTTTGACAGGCTAGAACAAGCTTAACTTGCATCCCTTCATGGATGCCCCCTTCTTACCCATCCTCCTTAATGGCATTGCCTACAAAGTCTTCAACTAGGGTGTAGGAAGCATGTAAATGTGTAAGGGATGTCCGGGGACAAGTAGGAGAATCCATGGTGAGACCCCTAAGCAAATGGAGCATGAGTTGCAAGCATTCTGGGCATTTTGGGCAAAACCTACCGGTAGGTTTTGGCTACTGGAGTAAAAACTATCGTAGGTCTTTCCGGTAGGTTTCCTACTTCGAACTAGTTTTCGTAGAATTATCATAACTTTTGATCCAACCGTCCGATTGAGCTGAAATTTTGACACAATATAGAAGACATACAGATCTACAACTTTCATTTCGAACTTCTTTAGATTTGGAGTGGATTATGGTCAAAAAGGAGAAAAACTGAGGTACTGCAACCAAACAGTGCGGGTGTTGGTGCCTATGTTGCCAAACACCGATACCTCCTTGATTTCTTTCACTTTTAAGCCTTCAAATCCTCAAGTAATGTGTCCATATCTTCACCACACATCCACACATAGTTTCAAGGTTCTAAAATACATGATTTACACTATAATTACCTGCAACATCGAAAATTCAACATTATTCAAAAATTCGGCTAACTCTAAGTACTTAAATGCAAAAGTTGAGTTAAAATGCATGTAATGAAGCCATTAAATATACAATATTAGATGCTCATCGCACCCCCGAACTTAAGTTTTGCTAGTCCCTAGCAAACAAAATATAAAACTTAAGTAAACAAAGATAAACATATACTAATTTCGCAATTGCATTTAGCATATGCAACAAGCCTTTAAACCCCTAGGTGATCCCCAGTGGACGAGTTTTGTCTCGTGAAGGTTTCTAGTGAAGGTACCTACAAACTTCTTTTCTTAGTAACCAATATTTAAAGCATATTCTCTTATCTTAACTAGCACTGAGATGTCAAAATAGCTTGGTCCAATGCACCCGAACAAATCACACATGAAACACATCATAGCCTTAAATGTTATTCTAGAGTATACACCTACACATTTCCTTTCAAAACTCGTGTGTGTGTGTGAAATGAAATGTAATTTAAACATTTACACAACCAAGTTCACATTCACTTTGGCTATCCAAATTAAGCTTTGATGCAAAACTCACCAAGGGTTTCTCTCAACAATGAATCACACTATGATTATCCTGGCATGCTCTCCATGTGTATATGTGAGATAGAATATTATGTACAAACCGAAGTATGCTCACATATAATCCAAAAATGAAGTATGCATAAAAATAAAACAACCTTGGCATAATCTCATGAAATGAATGCTAGGGCATTAAATAGCAAAACTAACTTCTCTTTTTCTTTAAAAGTATGCATCCCCCATGCTTCTCTAGATCATTTAGAACTTTCATAGGTTGTAATGAGACCTTGGTGTGATATCTAGGTAAATGAAATGAAGGATATAGGATAACAAAGAGGATTGTTCCGAGTGCATGACATTTATTTCAAAAAGATCTCCCTTTCTATGAGATTTTCAGTCAACACCATCACTTTACTCTTTATTTCTTTTCTTTTTTTCTTTTCCTTAACAATTTCATTTCTCTTTGATCTTTCTTTCTTCTTTCACCCCTTTCTCTCCTTTTCTTGAATTTTTTCTATTTTCCGTTCAACTCTTTAAATTCAACTTCATTCATCCACCATACTTCCTTCTCTTTTATGATCATTCATACTCAACTCTAGGAACAACCAAGGTGAGGTAGATTTATATTATTTTGCATTGGCTTGGTCAGATGTGTGGCATAGAAACGAATTTTTCATTTAAGGCTCAACCATTGCATTAGGGATATAATTTCACAAGAAAAAAGGCTAAGGCTCAAAGCAAATCAAAGATGGCCTAGGATCATCTCTAGATAAGCATGGGAGAGCACATTGCATTTCAAGATAAAGTCAATCAACTACTCAAATGCATCTAGCCAAAACAAGCATAATGAGATTATTGAACAAATTTAGAATTTGAAAAATTGTTCCTTGTGTAAATATAAGTTCCCTCCAAACAAGGATTGACATTAAAGCTCGCATGGGTTCTTACTCATCTTCACTATTCATGTCAAGCACTAAATGTGAACTCAATTTGTAAATTGTCAAAATTACAAGTTCATGGTGTACTTATGGTTGAGTTCAAAAGAAAATACGTATGTGATACTCTTAGCAATAGGATAAACTTCTATAATGTGTTCATGTATTCAAAGTTCAAAATGAAGATCAAATTATCACAACTCCCACAACAATTAGGGTAGGGGAATATAGTTCAAAATGAAAGTAACGTGGGAAATAAAAGCACATTTTGATTTTTTTTTCAATTGACTGTATAAGTTCATAAATTCTTATTTATTGAAATTATATTTAACACTCAAAATTTCAGTAAATATAGTAGATTAAAATCGATATGCATAACATAAACAAATAAAAAATAATTAAGGCTTTATTTTGGACTAATTATTGTCACTTTTAATTGACCCTCGTATATTTGTATTATTTCAAAGAGTTATAAATCAATCTTATCAATAATACTTCTTTTATATATAAAATCATGGCAACAATATTTTATTTATGATCCTATAATTTACAACACAACGACACATTTTTATTATAATAACGAAATAACTCTACAATTTAAAAAAATTACAAAAATAACTTAAATATGTTTAAAACATATTCGGACATGTTTAAAACGTGTCTAAAAGTTAACAATAATATTAGTTACACCTAATTTGAGATTTAATTGGTGGAGACTCAATGGTTTGTGATCATTGGATAGATAGTAAAATTTGTTAAATATTGAGACTCACTATTAGACTTAATATCATAATGCATTAGGTCCTTAAATTATACCTCAATACTATTATTAGAAAAGTTAACAATCATTTCGGTAGGGAGACATTCAAATAAATATCACCAGAAAAAAAAAACACGATGAGCATAATTAAATATGTCTAAATTTTATTTTAAAAAATATATGTCTAATATGAAGGAAAAAAAAATTCAAGGGGTGCCCACCCTAGCCTAAGAGTGGCTCCGCCCTTGACTATAGAGCATCTACATACCGTACTTCTATAATAACTTGGGTAATTTACATACAAAATGCCTACACTTTGCTAAAGTTTGAATGTCATCATTGTTCAGAAAATTCCTAGAGTATCTTTACCTCGAAGAACTCTATGGCAAAGTGTAATACACCCAGCCCACCACCAACAACATGATCTCTCTTCTCTCCCTCTTTATACCCAGTAACCAGTGCACATACATCATACATGGACCTGTGTACATATTAAAAAATGTATTAATCATATAAAAGTTGTATCGCGAAATAAGAATGTAATCGATTATCAAATCATTACCTTTATTGGGTTTTCGCCCAAAAAGAAGCAAGTCTCAAGCTTCACCCATTGTCGCTTCACTACAAAGAACGACATGATGGCAAAATGATGTTCTCATATTTAAATTTCTTTACAACTTAACACATAAAACCAAGCTTTCCAATGACAAAGACCAACACTCACAGAGGGTGTGAGTGTTGGTCTATTTGTTTCACTCCACCAAGTCACTTCAATATGTATCAAATAAAGCATATACCAAACCTCAATTCAAATTGGAATGTCAAAAATTTTAGAGATAAACACACGTATATTTACTGTTAAGCAAAAAATCAAACAGGCAACATACGTACAAAATGAATTCCAAAATTAAAAAAACTTAAAACAACAATTGATGTGGGTGTGTGCAAGTGTATGTGTTGTGGGTGTGTCAGTTGTGTTTATGTAGTAGAGGGGTGCGAAAGGGAAATGAGAGAGAGAGAGAGAAAAAAAGAGCAAATGGGTTTGTGCGAGTGAGAGAGGGGTGAAGAAGAGGACAAAGAGATGAAAAGTTACCTAGGAATGACAATAGTAATGCGGCGTTGGCAGGGGTGGCACTGTGGCATTGGCAGGGTGTGTGTGTTTGTGTGTGTGTGAGAGAGAGGGGTAAGGATACTTATACAAAAGAGCTGAGAGACAAAGATGCGTGAGATATGGGAGTCTAGAGTTAAACATGAGATAAAACTCTTAGTTCAATTCTGTGAGAGAGATATTTGACATAATGGATATTTGGAAAGCACGTAAACAGAGGGAAAGATTTTGGGAATTGAGATTGGCAGAAGATTTGAGATTGGGAGAGAGAGGTAAAAGTGGGATTTCATGAGAAAGATTTTGAAGATAAGTTTGTAAGGCACGGAGAGAGGTGTGGGAGATTAGGAGAGAGTGAGAGATTTCGGAGGAGAGAGATTAAACCGTCGTTTATGTTAGGATTACATTATCTGTTAAATGTGTTTATCTTTTATCTCAAAATAATCTGGACTTTTCTTTATCTCCAAAATTCAAAATCAAATATATTTTATTATATAGATATTCAATACTTCAGATATTACAACAAGACAAACTTCGTACTTTAGAAGTTTTAGTGCAATTAATCTTTTGTTATTTTAGTAACCTACGTCATTCTTTGCTAATACTAGGACTGTTTGTAACAAATACACTACCATCGATTTGGGTCCAAATTGTGCTGCCAATTTGAACTTTCCGGAGAGTTGAGAGTCCCCACTCCTTAGGCTCTGGGAACCTCAGATTTTAAAACTTTGAACCTCCATGTCTTCGCCGATCAATCCTGCCTAGCGATCCACCTCCAAGGTTCGTTATTTCCTACGTAATCTATGTTCTATCTCTGTATACGATGTATCGATGTGTATTGGTCTCAAGCGTCGAGTTTTAATAATGATATGATCAGATTTTGGGGTTATGAAACATGTTCAAAAGCTTGGGTTGTTTAAGTTTTAAGATTACTTTAAACACTGAGAATCTACAATCTTTGGTTTAATGAACGAAATTGATATTGTTTTTTGTTTTTTGAACTTTTTGTGGTCAATTATTTGCAGTCGTTTGCAATTAATCTCGTTTTAGGGTTTTTGTTGTGGTTTATATTGATGATTGGTGCTTCATCCTGAATGGTTGTTTATGGAAAGTTAAAATCTTTGACCGGCTATGTATGAGAAACTCAATTCAATGATAGGGTTGACTTGCTCGAAGTTACGTGGATTTATTTGAATCTTCATCAAAATTTGGAAATAAATAGGAGCTGAAAATTGTAGCCTACGCTAGTAGTTATGGGGATCAGAGAATTTGAGTGGTTGAACATCAAGTGTAAAGCCCAATGAATTCTCTGTTTCTGATCGAATAAGGGAAGGATTTGACTTTCGGTACAAAATTCTTGCGTGTTTTGTTAGTAGGGAACCAGTGAAGGTCCCTTCAAGTCAATCTGGACATGTCTTGCGATTCTTGAATCATGGCTAAAGATGAAGAAGATGTGAAATTGATCCGGTGATTACTCAGGGCACTAAGTTTAAGGCAGGTGGTAAATTTATTATATGAAAATTCCAAATCTGAGGGCAGCTCATTGAAATTGGTCCTTTACCACGATAAACCCCTCAATCTATTTCGTTGGGTTGATTTGGAAGGCTTTACTTGTATGATTTCAACCTCTCACCTCAGTAATACTTTCTGCTCTTAAAGATACGTTTGGTGACTATTTTATGTCATTTGAAAAGCTACATTTTATTGCTAGTATTTGTCTTTTGTCATGATGTATTTTTCTCCCCTGATAAGTTGCCATAGTAGCATATGCTTTCCATCATTTAAGCATATGACTATTGTTTCTCACAGACAATATCTCCGAATGTCGAAGGATAGAAGTGTCGAATCCTTATTTTCTGATGCATCCACGGTATCTTCTTATTCTTGCAACGCTGAACATGATGATCAGTGCAAATCTGAAATCCCATCTCTACCAGTTAGGGATGAAGAGGTATGGAAAGAAGCTAGATGCCCCATCTGCATTGAACCCCCTCACAATGCTGTCCTCTTACTATGTTCATTTTGTGACCAACATTGCCACCCTTACATGTGTGACACAAGCTACCGCCACTCAAACTGTCTTGATCAGTTTTGCAACTCATCTGGAGCGGCACTATCAACAGAAGAAGTTATTTCAAGCACAACCGAAGAAAGAGAAAGTGAGGAGTGGATGTCATCACCCAGAACAAGGTATAATGGGAAACAGCTACCCAAGCTTGTGTGCCCTCTCTGCCGGGGACAGGTCAGTGGGTGGGTTGTGATAGAGGCTGCTCGCCATTTCATGAATTCCAAACCAAGGAGCTGTTCACTTGAGACGTGTGATTTTAATGGGAACTATTCAGAACTCAGGAAGCATGCTAGGCTTGAGCATCCCTCTGTCTGCCCATCTGAGGCTGATCCAAAGCGTCTGCAGGACTGGACAATGCTGGGGCGTGAAAGGGATTTTGAGGACTCCTTTAGTGCATATGAGCTGGGACATGGAGATGGATGGAGTGATTTTTTTATAGACAGGACAGTGATGGAGTACGAAAGGGACCTAGAGGACATCGAAATTGCAAACCACTCACGGTTAGAGAACTGGGTTGACGATTTTGATTGGCTTGCAGATCGTGTTTGGCACCCTTCCCCTGTATTGCCAGAGTTTCGTCAATTGTATCCCTGGCTTGTGCTTTGGCATCCTATTTACCACCCTTCCCGTTTATTGCCAGAGTTTCCTCTATTTTATCCCCCGTTTGAGCCAATCGATTTAGATAGTTCAAGTGGTGGTGACCGATCTGGTGACAGCAGATCAACAAGGTCAAGGGCAACTTATCATGCTGAGACCATCCTTGCTCCTAGGCGGGGCAGCAATTTTTCACGGGGGACTTCAAGAAGCAGCAATTTTTCACGGGGGAATTCACGAAGTCTGCGGGAGCACCGCCGGTTGGACCAGAGACAATCAAGACGAAATCACTAGGCATTACTGCAAGTGGATAATTTGTGACCGTGCATGTGTTGTAATGTTGCGTGAATGAATCCTACCTAAATGAAGATGTGTTATCATTGCTGAAACATGGCATACTTATTAACTCTTATAGTACACATATGAATGATAACTTAGCGCCCTGTGTATTTTTGTTGAAAGCTATGAAAAAGAGCTGGTGAATTGTGATGCATGTTTTACCAAACTGCCAAATAGTTCAGGACCATGATACAGTTTTTTGGGTTGTCTTATGTCATAACTTGAGAACCTTGCCTAAGATTCAGTTTCTTTTACAGCCATTGGCCCACATTTCCACAGATATTCATCAAGGGGGAGTTCATTGGAGGATAGGGATAGGGATAGGGATAGGGATAGCATTCTTAACATGTACCAGGTAAATTCTCATAGCAAGGCTGAGCTTTCTTGTTTAGCCTACCTAGATTAAAGTGCTCAAGTGGTCTGATCCATGTTGCAGACTGGCGAGGCTGAAGGAAAAGCTCAAATATATCACAGACAACCAGGAGAGACATAAGTCATCGTTTTTTAATGGTGCACTTCTTTTTTCTTGTGAATTTTTGTGAGAATATCGGTGTTTTACTTGGCTTCTGCAAAGTTCAGCATCATAAGCTTCACATGATGGTCTTTTTTGGTAATGGAAATCGTCCCAATCATGCGCTCTTTGGACCAATGACTGCAACCCTAACTTCAGCAGCCTACAAATCACAGGTGCTTTTTTTTTTTAAATGTTTGCTACTCCAGTCATGGACCGAAGTGGGCCTCAGCTCACAGACCCATCAAGCACTTTTCTGGGCATTCGTTTTGTTATTTCATTTTTTTTTTCGCAAAGCTAATGAACAAGCCATCATTAGGCCACAATAAAACTCTGGGCCGACCCAAGACAGCCTCCAAAGCGGGCTGGGGTTTTGAGTTATAGCTAGCAGAACTCAAGCAATTAAATTTAGGATGGGTGGATTTATTTAGTGATGGGTCATACAATGAAATTATGAGAAAGAGTCATTGAACGATGCTTAAGAATTGAGGCTATAGTGTCGAAAAATCAGTTTGAGTTTATGCCGGCAGATCAACTATGAAGGTTATATATATTTATTGAAAACACTCATAAAAAATATAAAAAGAAAAAGAAAAATCTTCATATCGTATTTATAGATCTAGAAAAGACATATGATAAAGTACCTAGAAATATAATATTGAGGGTGCTTGAAAGAAAATGAGTGACAAATAGGTATATTGAAGTGATAAAGGATATGTATGACAAGATTATGACTACAATTAGGTTTTCGTGAGAGAAAGTAAAGAATTTTCAATCACAGTGGGATTACATCAAGGATCGGCCCTAAGTTCATACTTATTCGCCCTAATTATGGATGAACTCACTAGGTACATTCAAGATAATGTCTCACGGTGTATGCTATTTGCAGATGATATTGTATTAGTAGATAAAACTCGAAGGGGGATTGACAATAAATTAAAATTTTGGATAGAGACTCAAGTCAAAAGGGTTTAAAATAAGTAGGAGAAAGACTGAATATATGCAATGTAATTTTAATAATAAAAGAAGTAGATATAGTGAACAAATTAATATTAAAAATTAAGAAATATCAACAAGTAAACAATTTAGATATCTAGAATCGATCATTAAAAATGATGGAGATAATGTAACTCATTGAATCAACGCCAGTTGGTTTAAATGGAGGAAAGTCTGTGGCATATTATGTGATAGGAGGATACTAATAAAATTGAAAGGTAATTTTTTATCAAACAGCTATAAGTATACTAATGTTGTATGGGACAGAATATTGAGCAACTAGGAAAATAACATAGTGACAAAATAAATGTAGCAGAAATGAGAATATTAAGGTGGATGTGTGGAAACATTAGAAAGAATAGAATAAGAAATTACCGTATTAGAGAAATGGTATGAGTAGCTCTAATTGAGGATAAGTTAAGAAAAAAAAAATTATAGTTTGGTCATATTCAATGGAGGCCGATAGAGGCACCAATTTGAAAAATAGGAAAATCTCTCTTAATGAGACTACAAGTAAGGGTAAACCTAAACTAATATTGAACAAAATAATAAGAAAATATATGAAAATGTTTAACTTAAATGAGCGTATGGTGCATGATCAAAATGAATAGTAAAGACGGACTTATATAACCAATCACAAATGATTGAAACATAAGACTTAGTTTGGTTTGGTTATGTGTGAGTTTATGATTTTTTTTTTTTTTTTTGAGCACTAGACAAACAATTTAGAATAGCTTTTTAGTGATTGTTCATACTTCATGCATATCCTATTCTTCACAAATGAGAGGCTTTGAACCTTAAAAATGTTTGATATGGACATGTTTGGATTTTTATAGGCACTCAGATCAAGAATATTGATTATACAACAAATAACTCAGGGTAACATACCAAACTCTTGCATGTCTTATCCAACTAATGTTGTGTGTGTGTGTGTGTGTGAGAGAGAGAGAGAGAGTGAGAGAGAGAGAGAGAAGAGAGAGAGAGAGAGAGAGAGAGAGAGAGAGAGAGTAACAAAACAAGAGGACAGACAGAGCCGTCTGGATTTATGATTGCATTAATGGAATACCAAAATACTCAAAACTTACAAAAGTGGAATTGATCAGAACAAATTCCATCTATTTGCCTCCAAGAACACAGAAAAGAGACAAATAGCCAAAATTTATTTTAGGACAAGTAGAAAGCTGGAACACAATACAAGGTTAATTTATCTATACCAGTCACCGAACACCCCTCATCTAATAAAATGCCCAAATTTGTAAGTGTATGCTTTTTCCCTTGTTAATTTTACCCCCTCTTCTTTCTCAGTAGCTGCAACAAGAAGTTAAACCTCATTCTCGAATTATCCGCGTAAACCATCAAGCCCCAACCTTGCATTTAGCCAACTGCAGACCTCATCCATCTCCTTAGGGACTGTGTAATGACCCAGCCTGCACAATCAGAAACCGATTCTACTGACTGGGAAAAAAAATAATCAGAAACTGATTCTATAACTATGAGCTACTAATTTCTAAAGAAAAAATGGTCGGGGTGTGATACCCGTTGTAAGTTTTGAATGTGAGGCATCGAAATCCAGCTGAGCTCAAGAACTGGGAGGATTTTTCTCCATACTTATAAGGGACCACTTCATCACCTGTAACATTCAATTAACAGATTGTACTCATCAAGCAGATTTTGTGAACCCTCAAAAAGGAGCATTATCAAATGCAGTTTGTGAGCCAGGATCAATAGAGCCTAATTTCTTTCAGACATAGAGGCATTTTCAGGTGCCTAAATGGTGAATTAGACATTACGAATTGCGAAAATAAGTTTCCTACAGTCAAGATATCCATCATACATTCCCATGTACATGGAGAGACAAGCAGCTAATGTTACGTTAGGTGTTCTAAAACTAAGATAACATAATTGAAGATCAACATTAAAAACGGTAAGACATACAGGTTCCATGACAGATCAAAATGGGCAAGGATGCAGCACGCCTTGCAGCCTCGTGTGATCCTTCTATCTTCTTCTTCAAGCTCCTGCATAACACCATCCGTTAACTGAGAAATAATTGTGCAGTGTGTATTTGGACACCTAACTGTATAAACACCCCTTCTTTATCATGCCGAGCTGCTAAAAATTTGGAAAAAAATATCTGATAATAAATTTCTTGTATGTCACATGCCTTTATTTTATTTTTCCGATAAGTAGTTACGCAGTTGTGGCAAAAAACTACACTTACATGATACTTTTGAACCTTTGGAAACACAAGGATCCCCCCAGGTTGAAAATTATCCTTGGAATCCGCTGAGACCCTCAAATCATTGTGTTTTAATGACAAGTTCTTACTAGTACATTTTTGCAATAATATTTCCATTAGCATAGGTTATTTCTTGTACAATTGTATGTGTAGAAGGGACAGAGAATGATGAACTGGAATATGCTTTGAGAAGGAATGTATTGCAGTTGTACCTTGAACCAGGAAGCCAGCCACTTAGACCAACAATTGCCCTCAAGTTGATAGGGTAAGGGTAGCCATTTCCGTATTTCCCCTGAGCAAAGCAAGTTGCCGAGTAGAGGGCAGTGGCAGCCCCCATGCTAAAGCCTCCAATACCTAGTTTAACTGTTACAGTAAACAGTGTTATGGTGACTATGTTGTCATCAGCTCAACTAATACAATGGCCTCAAAATTGATACTAGTTTTATTTAATACCCCACAATTACATCATGCTATATGTCACTTTAAACAATTGCAAAATTGTAAATCAGGTAGTAGCCTTGTTCTCAAATTGACTTTGAGTTAAGCTTCAGTCAAAATGTACCATAAAAACAAATTCTTAACTTTAAGCATACAAGTACTGGATTTAACCTTACTGTTTGAATTCTATTGCCACGGAAGTGGAATTATTCATGAAGTTCAGGAAGTTTTTTTTTAAATCAAGACAAACAGAAAAGTAATGGAAATAATGGGAGGTATCAATTTTGTAACTAACATATACTCAGTAAAAATGGAAAAACTTACCGTCTGCAGGCTCTGTTGACAACAAGTTTGCAATATGTGCTATTGAAGCATCTAAACCTTCAAAATCATCTGGACCATCTTCTGAAAGCTCCCCCGCATCAAACCCTAATTTAAACCACAAAATCACGTTGCATCATCTCCGTCCAGATCACCGTACTTAAAAAAATTTCTGGTTTAGTCTTACATGCCGTGCAAGAAAATCCACCAAGAATAGCCACCGGACGAGTAGGCGCAGTTGGGCATATCCATTTAATCTGCATGAAATTTTAACAGCATGTCAAAATAAGATTGGAAAAAATAACTTGGGAGAAAATGGGGGGGGGGGGGTGAAGATTTGAAAACTCATAATTACATTTGGAAGAGGAAGATTTTCCAAAAGTTGGGATGAGCTGAAAAAGAAACACAGAACAAAATTAGTAGACATGCCTTGTATTGAAATAAAATAGAACTTAAACACACCAAAGCACCAAAGATTAGGCATATCGGTCTACAGAGGAACAGACACTTCATTGTGTTAAACTAACTGATAATGGAACCTCAACATTTGGCTGAATGTAGAAGTTTGAAAAAAAGAAGAATTTTGTTTATTAAATGGAGCCAAATTATTGTAGAATGTGGGATTCGTGCTCGGCAGGCCATGATCTGGGATTAAAAAAGGAATTATACTTGATCAATAGATATCTCGAAGAATTTGTACGCAACATGTATGAATATCCTTTGCAAAAGTTAATTTCTGTTTGGTCAGTTGGCAATAGAACCAAGTTAGTGAACTAGTGGTCCCAAATTAAGCATATGGAATATATACCTTTCCAATTCAAGAATTCTTAAGTTAATCTTTTAGTCGAATGAGACAATGAAATACTGATCAAAAGAAGAATGAGATGAGGAAATAAAAGCAGACAAGAATGAAAAAAGTTATATAATTTTACGGCGCCACTGCTTTCTCACGTCAACTCAATCAAGATAAGAATCTCAACTTAAAAGGCTGCAGCTCAACATCAAAAGAATTTAACATCAGATGAGCTTGTAAATGGAACATGACAAAACATTGACATCCTCTAAAGCACTTTTCTTCTTTTCTTTTTGGAACCTAAAGTCCACCCTTTTATTAGAAGGTATATATATACCTAGTATGGTATAAAGGGAAAAAACTACAGGAATTGACACCAGTAAGTCTGAATTGAACAGTAACTATGTAATTAGAGCCACTTATGTCCGTCTCCCACTAAAAATCCAAGCTTCTTGGCCAAAGATATAACATACAGCCTGGTTGTGTTTCAAATGCATTCAGCTCAATATTAAAATGACGATGAGGATCAACGCCATTCAGAAACCTATCATGCATTCTCTTTCACAATGATTAACAATTCCTATAGAATTGACCAAACATTTTATGTATCTAGATAGAAATAAATATTCAAACTCTATGAGGTTTCGACAGAGTGGAATGGTTTAACAGGGGTACTTACAGCCTCCTGTGATAATGTCATAACACCAAACTAAATTGAAGAAAGAAAGTGAAGGTTGTGTTATTAGAAAGAAGCTATAACCCTTTTTTGACACAAAAAAAAAGGGAGAAGAACAGCTATTTATGAGGGGATGAAATCATGAAAACAATTGAAGAATAGCAACTCTACCTCGAGCCATTATCACCAAGGCCATGCAACCAGATTATTGTGGCCTGGTGTTTCCCTTTTGGCCTCACCACATATGTCCTCCCAAATTCAACTGTCCTTCTAGCAGTTCTACTACCTGAAATTGTTCAGTAAAGTCATTGCCCAATAACCGTTGAAATATATGGAGAGAAGCTAATTTCGCGAAGACCAAAAAAACTTCATTCATTGAGAGATATCCAATGACTGATTAAACAAGGTGAGAAAATAACACCAATTTTAAGTGCAAAAATGGGGTGAAGAGAGATTGAATGAAAGAATTTGTAACTAACCAGAACCCATTGAAAAATTTGTATAACTCATCGTGTTGCCGCTAGAGAGTGAATGCACTAGCTAGAATCAACTATTGCAAAGACTGAGAATTGGTACTGCAATGAAGAAACCCAAATTGATAGTCCCTATTTATAACCCCATGGGTAGGTTATAATTGGAATAAAACATGTGAATATGCAACATTATGTAGGTGTGAACCAGCATCACATTGTGCCTAAGCCGCCTAGAAAAGCAAAAAGAAAGAAAGGAATCAATTAAAAGGAGAGGTAAAAGACAAGGATAAAAGCAGGAAGTCTTTTCAAGACCAAACAGAATCAAAGCAGAAAACGCAGAGCACCTTCATTCATTCCTGAAGTACTCAGCTTGGAGGGCTCTAGATTTACAACAAAGAGAGAATCTATGCTTGTGGGCAGTGGCTATAAATAAAGCAACCCACAATTATACCTAAAGAATATAACTGGAAACAACAAAGAACAATCCAATTTGGTAGACAGAAAATATCTTTTCTTTCAATCATTGATTATGTACCCATTACCCATTAATTTGAAAGCAAAGCTCAGCTATCTAATTTATCACCGAGACACAGCATATATATAACAATGATGAGTAGAATGTAGAATCAAGCATTTGAACGGACTAGGAAAAATGGGTTTTTCTTCTTGCTATATTTCTTTGTTATCCTCATACACCCACACGTACACATATATGATTATACGTATATGTTCATTTGGTTCACCACCAACCTGAAATTATTTGGTGGAAGGGACACTGGCAAAAGCATGCACAGACATTTTCTCTCCTTCCCCACTCCCCCTCTCTTTCTTGCTTGCCGATTACTATGAAGTTGCTCAACTTTCACCTTCATTATAAGGGCAGAATCGCAGTTTGACTATCTCAGTAAATTACACTTTATCCCCTGAACTATTACCTTTATTTTATTTTATACCTTTAACTATAAAATTTTTCACATTCTACTTTAAAGTATTAATTTTATTTCATATTATTCCAATAGATAACGACAAACTTGAAAATCTTTCAAAGGAGGAAGGAAAACTCCAAAGAATTTTTATCAAGTGCTTAGTACCACTTTATTGTACCTCTTTTGTAACTAAATAGTTGTTGAACATAAATAAAAGATTAGGTAGAAGAAGAAAATTTTAAGTTTAAAAAGGGTAAAGTCATGGATAGGTAATTTTTCATGATTTTTGACTTGCATATGTACAATATGGAGTTGTTTATTGATAGTACAGACTATTTACATGCATATTTACCTTCAAAAAATTAACATTCGTTATCAATTTGAGCAATATAAAATAAAATTAATACTTTAAGGTATAATGTAAGAAATTTTATAATTGAGGGTACAAAGTAAAATAAAAGTAATAGTTTAAGGGGATAAAATGTAATTTATCCTAGTTGAAGGAATTTCTATTTTTTATCTTCCAAACTTATATTTTTTATATTATATTAAAGTATTACAATTTTGCCCTCCTATGAGCAGTCGGTGTCCATGGGAGGTTTTTGACCAAAAAAAAAATAATGGTAGAGTCACGTTGCAACACTTTTAATATATTACGTGTATAATATAAAAAAAATTATCTTTGAAAATATAAAATAAAAATTCTTAAAATTTTAAAGGTACAAAATATAATTTGCTTATTATAAGAGCATATGCTCTATATTCCTATTCAATTTTCTGTTATAGAGAGTCGATCATTAAAATTTATTCTTCAGTAGACTCTTTATTTTTCAGACTTTCTAGAATAAAAAATTTAATTTAACTCTATATTTGGAGAGTCAAACTCACTCTCTATTTTAATTTTTTTTGAAATAAAAAAATTATATTTATCTTTTCATTCAAGACATTTATAATAAACATATTTCATTTAAAATAATAGAGAAAAAATAGGAGAAAAACTAAATTTATTGCCAAAGAACACAACATAAAATAATAAAAATAGAAAATTCTATTAGAGTGGTTGATAAATATTTACTCTCTATTATAACTATGGACTAAAGACACTCTCTATTTTAGAGGGCATTTTGAGATGTTCTAAATATCTTTTTTTGTAAAAATCTCATTTTATGCCTTGAAAATATAAATTTTTTTAATTTGGCCCATAAATGATTAATTTTTTCACATTACCCTTCAAATAAATAAAAATATTACAATGTGGTCCAAAATTGTTGTAATTTGTTTCCAAAAATGTTGCAATAAAATATTTTTGAACCACATTGTAATGTTTTTATTTTTTTGAGGGGACAATGTAAGAAAATTAATCATTCATGGAGTAAATTGAGAATTTTTATATCTTTTAAGGGGCAAAATGAGATTTTCTCTCTCTCTCTCTCTCTCTCTCTATCTTTCTCTCTCTCTCTTGTTTTGCTAGTGCAATATGTAGTTCAACCAATTGATTTGTCAAAAAATACTTCATATATATATATATATGATTTGTTTATTAATTCATACATAATGAATCGGATAATATTATATTCGTGTCGTATCATATATATTTTTAATTATTTTCACTCTTACTCAATTTATTTATTAATTGTGGCATGTCAAATTTACTCATTTACTAAATTAGTAACTTTAAAAATACTCAAATTCTCAAATTTCATATCAATATGGTGTCATAATAACAAATCTTGTCACATTTTAGCATACCTACCCTTATAAATCCTGTTTCTTTGCACTCAAGAGACTCCATATAGGCAGAGTATGTCCAAAATTGGACCTTTCACCTCAAGACATCATGTTACCCATTGATTTTGATATTTACCAACAGGGCACAAAACATTTTTATTTTTGGTAACGTGAAATCCCCCACGACAGAGGACATAAATTTCAAATACATGTCTCTTCACTCATAAATCGTAGGTATCAGTTAAATTTTAGAGACGACAACGAGACTTGACCCTCAAAAATTAACTCCCGTTCGACAAACCATGTAGAATTGTATTAAGGATCAAATTGTTAATGTCATTTTTTGAGGTAAAATATCCATATTTGACTTTCTAGTACATTGAAAATATACTTATTCACTCCAAAAAAAAAAAGAAAAAAAGATAGAAAAGGTAATTTAAAAATTAGGTTAGCTGACTAATTGCAGATTCATTTGGGATAATCCCGCAGACAGCATCTACTCCCTTACTTTCTAAATCGACTTTGGAGATGCTCCTTTTTTGTCTTCCCCTTTTGGGAAGTCAACCCCTCCTCCTCTAGCCCACTCCCAATTGAAGCAGCATCCATGTTTAGTTTTAAAAAAACTTTGATACTTTAGTCGTGGTTTTTCCAATGAGAACGTAAAATATGCTGCTGGCACTTGCTTACATAAAACCTTATTTTAACTTCATTAATGGCTACCAATTATTCACATTGAAAATTTGTGTAAAAGAAATATAAAAAAAAAAAAAAAAACTAGACCTAATTTGTTAATTTTATTTGTCGACCTAATGTATCATAACAATTGAATTTGTAGCGAGTGTCAAATAACAATGAGATCCACTATTAATTCAATAACAGAAAAAGATTAACTTAACAAATTAAATTCAAATAACGTTGCTAAAAAAAAATTATGGATAGTGGGCTCAATTTGTGATTGCCTTTCAACTTCTAAATCATAGCCTAGCCTTTTGCTCTTTCTTTTTTTTTTTGTTTTTTCCATTTATTTAATTTTGTTCTTGGGCTGGGAATGATTGAGTGTGGCTACTGGCCCTTTATTTATGTCATATGGAATCCCAAAAAACGATAAAGCACCCCCTAGTTTAGATACATGCTTTTTTCTTTTTGTGAAAATTGGAATGAAATATAATATGAGGAATTTTTTTACCAATAAGGACATGTGTAATCTATTTTGATTATTAAGGATACATGATATGTATTTTTTTGTAAGTATGTCCAATAGTCCCTTTACTCTTTTTTTTTTTATTTCCAATTTTGACTTTTAGTGGATCACGCATATTTTTTTAAGACTCCTCTCTCTTCTTCTTTTATATTCTATATCATACTTTATCTCTCATCTCTCACCATCTTCATTCAATTCATCGCTAGATTGAAAACATCACAAAACGAAGAAATGAAACAGATTTTTATCATGATCAAGTCTAATGATTTCCAAAGAGGACTAGATTGTATTTATGTATGGGCGTGTGTATATAAATAAAGGAGATTTGAATCTATTTTAAATTTTGAAATGTAAATTTTATATAGATAGTTTAATTATAAAAGATCTAAAATTAAGCAGGTTTAATTTTATTTGTTTTTAAATTGTGTAATTGTTTTTGTTTGATTTTTGAATTTAATTTTGTTTAATTTTTTAATTTTGAATTGTGTTTTGAAATACATGTCTTTAAAATCTAAAAAAATATCTCTTTGAATGTTTTCCTCGTAAAAGTCCAAGCCTCTATACCGACATCCAAAACCCTTTTCTTTTCACATTCTATCCACCTTGTTAATGTAGTGGCAAGAGCCCAAGAAGATAACTAAATCTAAACCCAAACACCACCTCCAAAAGGGCCATCCGAGTCAGTGTAAGACCATCCATTTTTCTCTTCTTCAAGCTTCTAGCCAACATGCTACTATTCCTACTAATCCTGCTTATCCAAAACATTTGTTAGGGTTACGTATAGTGATTTGGGATGGGACTAATTTACTACGGTAGTTAGGCACTTGATAACTTTGGTAACTTCATTAGGGTCAGGTATTGACCGAGTTTGTTTAGATCTACTCGATGTTAAGTTTACAGCATATACATGGTAGATACGAACCCTTTGTGGGGAGCGGCGTAACTTCTCACCTGATTGCAATTAGGTGCGAAACAACTATCTCAAAATTAGAAGTCGTCAAACCTGGTTTTAAATAAATTGTATGCAAGGGTGTTTGCCACCTTTCACCATACACTATATCTTAATAATACTTGCTATTAAGACCTAAAATATTCATCTAATGATGTGACAAATGAAAGTCTCAATGAAGAAGTCTAATGGTTAAAGTCACCACAATAATATTGTACCATGTCGGTGGCCATAATGGATTGATAATCGAGCCGATCTACTTGAACCACAGATTCTTGATATTCAAAGTCGTCCTCATTTAGTACCTCAAATTCCAGGCAATAGAAAATATGAATACTCCTAATTAAATATTACTAACTAAATATATTTCGTAATTTCTTTCCTGAACGGGGTCCTACACTACTGATTCAAACACTAAAAATATATCACAGCACTGACAGCAGAGATGAGAAGATCTATGAACTGTTACACAAGAAGGCCAATGGGACTTGCCAATTCCCTTCTTTACCAAATTTATTAAGTAATGATGGAACAAAATAAACTGGAATACAAGAAAACCAAATCCATGATAGCGGTCAACTCAATTTGCTTACAAAACAAGCAGTCTCGGAAGGAACCAAATTGTAGCCATCATTTATTTGATTAACCGTCGTAGAACACTGAGAATTCATAATTTTCCAACAGATGCTCAGCTCGTGTTTAAAATCCCAAAAAGGAAAAGAAGAGTTGCCAGACTCAAATTTTGAGAACAAAGGGCCTAATAAAAAGCAAACAAAACACATTTTGAATCCCGAAGCTGCAGAATATACTAAACAATGTCTCATCATCTCACCAGATTTTATTCCGGTAGGAAAATTGCAAGCTGCAATCAGTGATCGTCATCATCACCATGCCCACCCGGAGGTCCTCCTGGGCCAACAACTTCCAGCTGTAAAACAATGAGTAGTTACGTTAATTTTGGCCAAGACTGAAACTAACCGTATATTGTACAATAAATCACTGACTCAAGCCCATTGAGCTCTCCTAATTCCCTCTCTGAAGGATCAAAGACCATCGTATGGTTTCTCCACAAGCCTCAACTAACAATGTCAATAGAAACATGAAATGAAGCACCTTTTAATCAGAAACTCATTCCTTCACAGTTCTATATATCATGTCTGAATAGGGTCTGGATGAAAATAGGACCAGGTTTTCAGAAGACCCATCATAGGAAATGAACTAAATTCAAATCATGCCTGTTTATGATTCCTACTCAAATTGTCGCATGGTACTTTCAAAATCAAAGGTAAATATGGATTCAATCTGGACCACACACACAATGGAATCCATATTCACCTACACTTGTTCCAAGCCATGATAAGTTATTAATTCAAGGGTTATCCTGCACTAACCTCAAAATACTGGGAGCAGACTGGGCATTCATGTGGCTTCCCTTTCTCTAGCCAGAACCAAACAACATCATGCTCATCTTCTGTTTAGGAGAGTTAATAAATTGTTAAATAGCTTATATGCGACAAGATAGGTGAATTTAAGGGAACATCATATACCAGTCCTTTTGTCTACTGCAAAGAACCATCCAGAAAGTTAATCAAAACTTACCGCCTTCACCACCAGGGCAGCCAATAATTCTTTTGTCATAGTAGGACTTGATCACCGCAGGTGCTTCCTACAGCAAAAAATGCAAACAGTACGTAAAAATGAGATTTCTACGATAAAAAGCATTAAAAGCATCGCCTTAAAACAGATAACATCCAAGCACGTCAAAATTCTAGCAATGCTAAACAAGTCAATGGACTTCAAAAACTTAAGACCTCCAGCAATCCAAATTCAATTTTCCTTTTCCTTTGTTACTGGCCAACCAAAAGGTCCGTTCATGAATAACTTAATAATCTATCACTATAATTGGACCCAGGATGGAATGATTTGAGAAATCAATTAGAACTGGTAGTCAAAATCAGATAATAGACAAAGAAGTTGTGCAATAAATGCAGCTAAAGGTGGAGGGGGAAGAAAAACAAAAGTAACCTAGTTTGACACTTCTGTTAACTAAGAGAACCCATCATTGTTTTAGTGTGTGCGTGTTTGTTTTTCTTTTCTTTTTTTATTTTTAGGATAGAGAAATCAACTAGAACTAGTAATCAAAATCAGATAACAGACAAAGAAGTTGTGCAACAAATGCAGATAAAGGTGGAGGAGGGAAGAAAGACAAAAGGAAGTACACCTTCTGTGAACTAAGAGAACCCATCATTGTTTGGTTTGTCTCTGTTTGTTTTTCTTTCTTTCTTTTTCTATTTTGTCTGAATGATTTTTTTTGTTTTGGGTGGGTTTTTTTTGGTGGGTGGGGGAACCATGCTAACTGTGTCAGTTTTATTACTTTGAAACAGCCACAATCATGCTCCAGTAATTTGATGATGGATAGCTAATTCTATTTATCAAACAAAACAACGCAGTTTGCTATCATTTATAGGGTGCATATGCCAAACATTATTCGCAACAAGACATCATTGGAAAAGGAGTATGTACACATGACCCTTATCCTTTTTGCAATGGAGAGCAACATGAGTAGGAAATAAAGAAAGAGCTCCAGTGGGGCAGGGGGTGTACTCAACCGACAAAATAGAGAGAAACATCTATATTTTTCTAGGCCAAGAATAAAAACAGATGTTTCTAATTAGAATACGGGAAATGGACATCACCATATCTTTGTTTACGTGAAGTAAAATCCAGGGCACTTACAGCAGCTTTGATCGGAAAACCAAGGACAAACCATTAAGAGAGGCACATAAGGTTGAAGCTAGTGAAACAAAGGGCAGTAAGGCCTTGTCCATGTCAATGAATCAAAGTGCAAAGCAAGACAATACACCAGAAATATGTCTCAAGGATATCAATGAACTAAAATTCACATTACAATTTCCATTAACGAGACATAAAACATGCATAATGGAAATTTATCATGATCATTTTACATTGATAGTGAAAATTTCCATTTTTTTTTTTTTTTGCTACACATTGATGTTGGTGAAGATTCACAATTTCCCTTGTGAAGTAGCCTAGTATCACATTAGACAGGAGCATAATGTTGATAGCCAACCAATTACATGCAGAATGTTACTGAGATGTTAACAAGTGTGTATTCCCATTCCCAGCACATTACTCAACCCAGAGTTGATGTACGATATATAAAGTCAAACCAGCTCAGTAAGCTCTTCAAAAGTAACGTATTCATTTGAAATTTCACCTAAAATTCAATGCACCAGATCATATGCCACATGGCAGAAAACATTCAAAGGAAAAAATATATCTATAACAATCAAAGACCAAATCCATTGTGCAGTGCAAAAGAATAGCTATTTATAATTAAACAGTTCCTCCAAAGGCACTGCAAGCATACTGACCTTTGTACCAAAAGGACCTACAGGATGGTCAATATCCAAAATGTTCCGCCCCTGATCACAAACAAGCAAATAGAAACCAATATTACTCTCGATCACAAACAGTACCAATGCGAACATTTTTCCAGATGAACTCCATTATTAGAAAACTCACTTCAATCTCAGCTTCAAGCTCCTCACGCTCGTGTCCAGTCGCAATAGGCATTACATCCTCAACTTTCTTCTTCGAGACAACATTTTCTCCTAACAAATATGCAAACAAATTCATATATGTCACTATACATACAAAAATGCATATACATCCGATTATCTAGTTTATAGGTCTCCGTTTGTGTACATATGCGTCTTTTTTCCAAGATCTAAATCGAATTAGAGTTCCAACAAGAGTGGTAATATTACCTGATTCGGAACTAAAGCGGCGAGAAAAAATAGTAACAACGTGCCGGAGTGATGAAGTAGCCGGTGACGGAGAAGATGTGACGGTGCCGGTGATGGATCGATGAGGTCTGTAAACAGATCGGGCGGGTGCAAGGGTTCGGAGCTGTGTAGAGAGTCTTCTCCACATGGTTGTGCGCCTAGGGTTTTGTTTGATCTCAGGTCGGCCCTCACTTTTTGGGATTCAAGAATTTCTCTCTCTCTCTCTATAATTTTCTTCAGCTAAATGTTAAGAACGTGGAAATGAAATATGAAATGGCACAAGTTGGGACTTGGGAGGGGCTAAGGCCTGAAACGGGTCGGGCATATCCGGTGCGTGCAATCCCATGGACCGGGTAGGCTAAGAAAAGTGCAGCTTAGGATGCACCGCACATTAGCAAAAAAATTATTATAGAGTATTGTTATCTTCGTCAAAAATTTATTAAAACGATATAGATGGTTAGATCAGTAGAATCTATTATTTTTTTTGTGGGATCTACTGAAACAACTAATCACATTCAAATGATAATTTTTTTTTATAAGCACATCAATTACCTTATTATCAGTACAACATAAAAAAGAGTCGCTTTAGTGTATAAGATTTTTGTCACTATAATTAGGGATGACAGTGGACCAGAAAAAAATGGGTATTCTTACAAACTCATCCCGTTTGGACCATGAATGGACAAAATACATATTGAACGATAGATGTATATAGAAGTATCTGTACAAACCCGTGCGGAGATAGAGAGGTCAAATATAAATAGAGTTCCAACAAGAGTGGTGATATTATTTGATTCGGAACTAAAGTGGTGATATTACACATATCATTTTTGTGAGTTTTTATATTTAATTTATTTGTTATATAATGAGTTTTCATCATTTTTCTATCTGTTTTGTATTAAATCAACTAATCAAAAATCACAAAACATATGAACAACTAAATAGAAATGAGACGGTGGACTACATTACAATACTTTTATTTCTTTAAGGGAGAAATGTGAAAAAATTAATCATTCGAAGAGACAAACTGAGAACTTTTGTGTATTTTACGGAACAAAATAGAATTTATCCTTTCTTTTATAATAAATTATTCTATATCCCAAAAAAAAATTTAAATCCCGTTTGGATTCCATGATCCTCATATTTCCTTTGGTTTCCTTATTCAAAAGATGGATAGGGCTCGAACGATTAGAATCTACAACCACAATGATCTGGATTGGGACATATGGTTAAAACAAGTCGGCCTGAATTCTGAGGGCTATATGATTCCAAAACGTGGAAGGATCTAATCCAATGGAGGTTCATCAGTAGGAGTGTTCAAATTTACGATTGGTCGTAATTTTCTATTCTACTCAATCTTACCCTTCTGAATGACTAGTCACAAAAATCGGATAAGAATGCAGAAAAATTTTTAGTTTTTCGATTAAATCGGGTAAGAATGTGGAATGCCCATCAATTGTCGCATTCCTACCCCACTCTACCTGCAAAAAATATATTTAATTTTTTTTTTTTTTTATTAGTAATTATAAGATATTTGTGTGGTATAATTTATATTATAACATTGTTATTGTTGTGAATATTTGAGTTGCTAAAACATGAACTTGTTTTTTGTATAAGTTACATGATTTGTGGTGAACTGGTGATCTATTAGAGCAGTTATGATTTTAATGTATTTAATATGATTTAAACTTAAAATAATTATTATTGTATTTGTGTAATAATTATGATGGATTGATGTTCATACTTTATTGTATTTTATTGTAATTGTTGTTGTAGTTATTTTAGATTTTAGTGTTATTGATTTATTGTGTTATTAAATTGGTGCTTGTTATTTAATTGAATTGTTAAAATGATTCAAAAATTAATAGTTACAAAAGTGTTTACCCGACTTCCTACCCGATTAATCAGGTAGGAAGTCGGGTAGGAATATCACACCTAATTGGACAGAGTAGGGTAAAAAAAAATTCTTCCGCAAAGTATCAGGTAGGAAGACTATATTTCCTATCCGTATGGTAGGTTGAACACTCATATTCATCAGCACAGAATCTACGAAGAGTAATGCTAGACGGACTTAAAAATTAGACTTAATAAATTCAACCATTGAATAGATAGTGAGTTTCATTAAATACTAGGACCCACAGTAAAATTAATAGTTGAGATTATCAAGTCTAACTTTTAAGTTTACTTTTTAAGTCTATGCAACATTTGTTATCTATGAAATTCGGCTAATTCTACACTGTTCATTCCCATTTTCCACGTCGTTCTAGAACTACACGCATCGTCTCTCTCTCTCTGTGACAGTATGGAGTGTTCTGAACTGCATCAAAACTTTACATAGGAAGGAGCTCCCAGTAGCTCTCCTGGACGTTGCATTCTCTCACTCTCTGTTAAATAGATTCTCACAGAATCATGAGTAAGCCCTCTGCTCTCTCGCTCTCTCTATGTAATTATATTTCTTTATTTTATTTACTTTATTGGATTTCTACTCTTTAGAGTCATTCTCTCTAATATCAACATTTGTGTTTGGTTTTAACTTTTAAGTCTACTTTTTAAGTCCATGCAGCATTAGTTATCTATGAAATTCGGCTAATTCTACACTGTTCATTCCCATTTTCCACGTCGTTCTGGAACTACACGCATCGTCTCTCTCTCTCTCTCTCTCTGTGACAGTATGGAGTGTTCTGAATTGCATCAAAACTTTACATAGGAAGGAGCTCCCAGTAGCTCTCCTAGACGTTGCATTCTCTCACTCTCTGTTAAACAGATTCTCACAGAATCATGAGTAAGCCCTCTCTCTCTCGCTCTCTCTATGTAACTATATTTCTTTATTTTATTTACTTTATTGGATTTCTACTCTTTAGAATCATTCTCTCTAATATCAGCATTTGCGTTTGGTTCTAACTTTTAATTTTCTTTACATTTGATGAATTATACACAGGTTTGGGAAGATTGGAATCAACAGTATGAAGAAAAATCTTCACGTTCATAAGTTTTGGATCAAATAAATAATGAGCTACAATAATCCATGTACATTCAACTTATTTGTGTTTAAATGGAATATTTATTTCACCTCAAGATTTGGAAGGAGTAATCGATTTGTTGCCAGAGTCAGGCGACAAAGAGACAATGTTAAGCTCCCAGCATTTGGTGACCCCCTCAAGGTCTCCAATTTCAAGGTATCCATTCAATTGAGTAATTAAAAGAGAAAAGTGGAGCGATTAGATGTTCATTAAGGTGGTTGAGAGATTAACATTAATCAAGTTGTGTGATCCTTAAATATTGGTATATTGCAGTTGCATGATTTTTTTTTATTGCAAATTGGTGAAACTTTGAAGTGAAGGATAAAAAATGGGAGAAAGAAAACATGGATAGGGATAGAATTTCTTGATTGTTAATGTTCTGACACAGTATTTATCAATTTTTTCTTGAACACAATATTTATGTAGTGCTCAGGTTAATGTTTCTTCATTGTCTTTGACATGCCTGTACATGATTTCTAGGACTCGCCATCTTTGGCATTCATTGTTTCAAAGCATGATCAAGATGGATTTGGATCTGCTAGCATGAAATCCTTAAGAGCATTTGCACTATTTGGTGCAGGGGTAGCCGAGCTTTTGAACTGTGCAACAAACGCTTATTCTGATGAGGCAGAGCAGGGGCTAAAGGCCCCTGACTATCCTTGGCCTTACAAAGGCATTCTCAGTTCATATGACCATCCTTCGTAAGTAGAGTAATTGTTGTCATCAAACATATAACTCAATTCCTATGAAGCACGGATACTCTCAACAACGTGACGTATCTGTGTCGAACACCGACACTCTTTGGACTCTCTCAAACACGTGTCCGATACTCTTTTATCCGAGTCTATAATTAAATAATAAATTTTTAATTTTGGACACTTCTTTGGTGACGTGTCCGATATTTTTTTAGAACATATCTACTACTAAAAAATAGACGTTTGTTGAAATGTGATTAACAAAGTTTAAAAATTTGAGAACATATAATTACTAATACTAGACATATTAAAGTTGTACTTCAAATATAATAATAAAAATAAAAAATGTATAAAAGTTTTAAAAAAGAGGAATTGAGAAAATGAGATCAATTATTTAAATTATATATTAGGTATACATTGTCTACCAAAAAAAAAAATGATTATTGACTATAATGAGAATGTTTTAGTCTAAAAATTTCCACATATGACTAGACATTAGGTTTTCTTATCATAAAATATTGATTTTTTTTATAAATTGTATATCATTAACACTATATTTGCAATAAATTATATAATATTATATATAAAATATAAAATATAATTTTCTATAGCATATCCCCAATGAATCCGTGTCCTACTTTTTTGAAAAATGTTGAATCGATGTGTACATGTCGTGTCGTATCCGTGTCTCATGTCCGTGTCTATACTTCTTAGCTCAGTTCTAAAAAAAAATCTGGTGTGAGAGGGAATATGGAACACTATGGTTGTGATAATGTGTGCACATAAGAACAACTCTAAAGGGAGTTACTATTTTGGGGTGCCAAATCTCTCATTTGCAAATTTAAACAATGTTTTGACATCCCTAAATTATAAATATACTCCAATGGCAGGTGTTAAAATGGGGTGTCATTTTAATATTTTAAGTTTTTTATTGCTGTCAAAATATTTTAATATATTTTAACGGGTATAGTTTATTAAAAATATAATTAAATCCATTTGTAACCTCTCTCTTTCTCTCTCCAGAGTTTGAAAAATTGTCACCCCAAGAGTATTGATGTCATTTTCCAACCTTTGATCTCACCTCGGTTGTAGTGAAAATTTTGAATTTGAGATAGCATTTTGACAGTTACAGGCAGTTATGAGATTGCCACCCCTGATGTCACTCCCCTTGCTCTAACATTTAATAATTTGAGACCCAAAGAAAGAAAAAGCTTCACAACTGCTCTGCCCACTTCTTAATTGGTTACTCTAATCGACAACAAGAATTCAGGGCCCGAATTGGATGCAATTGGCTTATTCTTTTGTTTTTCCACCTATAAATCAGGTTTTATTTTTTGGTGGATACACAATTTTATTACATGTATGTGATTTTTCCATAAATGAAAATGCTTGTTTGTCTCTGCTACCTATAAAAGAATGGAAACCACTTGTTGCAGAATTCGTCGGGGTCACCAGGTTTACCAACAAGTTTGTGCACAATGCCATTCAATGTCATTTATCGCTTTTTGTGACCTTGTCGGTGTGGCATACACTGAGGAAGAAGCAAAGGTGCTGGCTACTTAGATTGAAGCAGTTGATGGGCCTAATGACAAGGGTGCCTGGTGAGCTGAATGACTGTTTTCCTCCGCCTTACCCTAATGAACAAGCTGCCAGGTTTGCTAATGGAGGAGCTATCCTCCAGATCCGAGTCTTATCACCAAGGTAATTGTAGTCTTCTTTATTCACTATAAAACCTAAATAAAAAGCATTATCCCTCAATTTCCTAACTCTATGTTCTCTCAAGGCCGACATAACGATCAGAACTATGTGTTCGCCCTTTTGACTGGCTACCGTGATCCTCTCACTGGTGTTTCGGTAATTGCTTCTTCCCAGATTAATTTTGGCAAGACGCTTAAAGAAACATGGAAAATTTTATTATGTTGATATGTCACATTGCAATTAATTGGTTGTTCCTTTATGTTATCTTTTTTTTTCCCTTCAAAATTAGAGATGGCCCCTCTTTGTATCCATATCATCACCTGAGGGTACAAAATAAGTAAATTTGTTCCAAGTTCATAACCATAATTAGGGTTGACTATACTTTTTGTTTGTTACTTTGTGTGAAAATTTATTATTGTCTACCAAGCATAAATTACATTTTTAGATTCGAGGAGGGTTGTACAATAATCCTTACTTTCTTGGTGGAGCAATTGCTATGCCTAAAATGCTCAATGATGGTGTTGTTGAGTATGAAGATGGTACCCCAACAACGGAGTCACAGGTGATTCTTTGTTGTGTTTTACCTTTTTTTTCCCCTTTACAAAGGCCTGGAAATCATATTCTTCACTTGTTTTGTTGGCACAGATGGCAAAAGATGTTACGGAGTTTATTTCATGGGCTATTGAGCCAGAAATGGAAGAGAGAAAACTGGTAAATGATTCTCTCTCTCTCTCGCACACGCACATGCACACACACTCTTTTGGTCAAATGTACCTTCGTACCATCAAATGTGCTGCATAGAGTATACATTTCTAATTTTATTTGGCTTGGGGATATATGCAGATGGGATTCAAATGGATTTTGCTACTGTCTCTGGCACTTCTCCAAGTAGTTTACTACAGACGCTTGAGATGGTCAGTTTGTTGCAAATTAGTGAAACTTACAGCTGTCATATCTTGGAAGTTAGAAGCTGTTGAATTAGTCTTTGTTGAATAAGTCTAGTTTGTTTTAAGTATTCCATTTATTTAGGAATACTAATTGTCTTCCTTTTATTTAGGCTAATAATCTCATAGACACGTTGGTGTTGGTTGAGATCTTTTACGAAAACTTTTAGTATTTATAATCTGTGTAATCCTAGTTTTGCTTTAGTTCTTCATTGAGTAATAAAAATTCAGCTTCAACATCATCTCTATTTTATTTTTGGTTGCTTCCAATCTCTATATTTCTTACATGGTATCAGAGCTTAGTTGCCTACCATGTGTTTGATTTTATTGCTCAGGGAAGATGAATGGTGGAAGCAATGTTTCTGTAGATAAGCTTGTTGGTAACAACTATAATTACTGGAAGTTATACATGGAAGCTTATCTACAAGGGCAGGACTTGTGGGATCTTATCTCTGGTGATGATGCTGTAATTCCAGAAGATACACCCCAAAATGCTGACTTATGGCGAAAGTGGAAGATTAAGTGCGGCAAAGCCTTGTTTGCTTTACGAACTTTGATTAGCCAAGACTTCATCGCACATGTTCGTGATGTCTCGTCGCCAAAACAAGTGTGGGAGACACTTGAACGGTTGTTCACACAAAAGAATACAATGCGGTTGTAGTACTTGGAGAATGAACTTGCTGGAATGACTCAAGGTACTCTTTCAATTCCAGAATATTTTTTGAAAGTCAAAACCTTGTGTGCTAAAATTTCAGAACTAGATACAGAGGAACCCGTAAGTGATGCTCAGTTGCATTGTTATCTCATTCGTGGACTACGAAAAGATTTTATGCCCTTTGTTTCTTCTATACAAGGGTGGGCAACACAACCTTCAATTATTGAGTTAGAGAATCTTCTTTCTAATCAAGAAGCCTTGGTGAAAACAAATGACTAGCAATATAAGCAATCTCTCTCTCAAGTGGAGGATGCTCTGTACACAAAGGACCAAGGGAATAAGAACTTCTCCAAGCATGGTTTTGGTGACATGGAGCAGTCCAACAATGAAGGGAAATTTAGAGGAAATTCAAAAGGATGTTTTCGGTGCGGACAACTAGGGCACATGAAGTGTGATTGTCATGCAAGATTTGTGTGTAATAAATGCCGAAGATCTGGTCATATTAAAGCCAACTGTCGTGTCAAACTTATGGAAACAAGTGCAAATGTTGCTCATGAACAAGATAAGGCTGAACAGTCCAAATGGGAGCATTGTTTGTCTATTACAGCCACTGATAAATCAATTATTGTGACCTCTGCATAGACAGATGTTAATGCCTCCATGGACTACAACAACGAATGGATTGTTGACTCTGGTTGTTCTCATCATGCAATCAGAAGTGATTCTTTATTGTCAGACGTTTGTCCACATTGTGGGAAGAAAACCACTATGACAGCTAATAATTCCTTATATCCTGTTGAGAAAGAAGGGCATTTTGAATGAGATCTTGCGAATGACAGTGGAGTTTCTCTCAAAGATGTTTATTATCATGTACCAGGCATAAAGAAGAATCTTGCCTCAGTTTCTCAAATAACTGACACTGGGAGGTATGTTCTCTTTGGTCCCCAAAATGTCCAAATTCTTTCTAATGTAAAACATATAGAAGCTGATGTTTTATTTACTTGGAGAAACAAAGAATCATTATATGTTTTGTCTGCAAGTGATGCATATGTTGAAAAAACATGTCAGCATGATAGTGCAACGCTTTGACACAATTGGTTAGGCCATGTTGGGTATCAATTGCTGCAGAAAATCTCCACAAAGAAGCTTCTTGATGGAGTTCCTCTTTTTAAAGAGATTCACTATGATGTAGTTTGTCCTGGGTGTCAATATGGAAAATCACATCGCCTCCCTTTTCCATATTCAAAGAATAGAGCTTTAGTTTCATTACAACTAGTTCATTCTAGTCTGATGGGGCCTACAAATACACCTAGTTACTCTGATTTTCGCTATGTAATGGTTCTTGTAGACGACTTTTCTCGGTTCACTTGGGTGTACTTCTTAGCAAACAAAAGTGAGGCTTTCCCTAAATTTGTACAGTTCAAAGAGCAGGTAGAGAAAGAATTTAAGCTGCAAATTAAGTGTTTACGCACCAACAATGGAGGAGAATACATGTCTGATCAATTCCTCAGTTACTGCAGATAACATGGCATTCAACATCAAATGACTTGCCCAGAAACTCCACAACAAAATGGAGTTTCTGAGCGCAAGTTGGCACATCTTACATTCATGTGCTTGTCATGGTTACATACAAAGAACCTTCCAAGAGAGCTGTGGGCAACAGCTTTTCAATCAGCTTTTCATGTCATAAATCGTTTACCTTTATGGCCTGGGACAGAACCATCTCCTTTTGAAGTATTATACCGTCACAAACCCAATATGAGTTATTTTAGAGTCTTTGGTTCAATTTGTTATTTCCATGTCTCAAAAACTAAACGGACTAAACTAGACCCAAGGGCGCTATGTAATGATTCTTGTGGACGACTTTTCTCGGTTCACTTAGGTGTACTTCTTGGCAAAAAAAAGTGAGGCTTTCTCTAAATTTGTACAGTTCAAAGAACAGGTAGAGCAAGAATTCAAGCTGCAAGTTAAGTGTTTACACACCGACAATAGAGGAGAATACATGTCTGATCAATTCCTCAGTTACTGCAGAGAACATGGCATTCAGCGTCAAATGACTTGCCTGGAAACTCCACAACAAAATGGAGTTGTTGAGCGCAAGTTGGCACATCTTACATCCATGTGCTTGTCATGGTTGCATACAAAGAACCTTCAAAGAGAGTTGTGGGCAGCATCTGTTCAATCAGCTTGTCATGTCATAAATCGTTTACCTTCATGGCTAGGGACAAAACCATCTCCTTTTGAAGCACTATACCGTAACAAACCCAATGTGAGTTATTTTAGAGTCTTTGGTTCAGTTTGTTATTTCCCGTGAGATGGTGTTTGATGAAGTTTCATCACCTCAAATTGATACCGATAGAGGCACAATTAATCTTTCACCTTTCCCTGATGGTGCATCTAGTGAAAGGGGGAGCAATATTACTCCAACTGAAGAAAATATTTAGCAAGAGGTGACTACACGGACAGTGCTTTGGAGGACCTCTAGACAAAGAAGGCAACCTAATTATTTAGCTGATTATGATTGCTATATTGTGTCCTATTTTTTTTATAGGAGAGTCATGTGATGATGAGCCTACGTCTTACAATAAAGCAAAGGGTATCTCTAAATGGGAAGAAGCGATGCAAGAGGAAATATCAGCACTAAACAAGAACTGTACATGGGAGCTTGTTCCGAAACCAAAGAATGTTGCACCAGTTACTTGCAAATGGGTTTACAAGTTAAAGAAGAAGGCTGATGGAACTATTGATAGGTACAAAACTCATCTTGTTGCTTGTGGTTTTTCATAGCAATATGGTCTCAATTACAAGGAGATCTTCAGTCCTATTGCTAAAATGGTAACTATTCGAATAATTTTTTCATTAGATGCTTACACAAGGTTGGAAATTGTGGCAATTAGACGTAAAGAATGCATTCCTTTATGGAGAGATAGATCGTGATATCTTTACGGAGCAGCCACATGGATTTATATCTAAGGTGTTTCCTGATCATGTGTACTGACTCAATAAGGCGTTGTATGGCCTCAAGCAAGCACCACGTGCTTGGTATGATAAAATTGCTCAATACCTTGATTTTTGTGGTTTCAAGTCTTTAAATGCATATTCAAGTTTATTTGTTAAGAAAACATCCTCAGTATGCACAATGCTTCTTCTCTACGTGGATGACATGATTATTACGGGTGATGACGATGCTGAAATAACTAGTCTTCAAGATGCTTTGTCTCTTCATTTTGAAATGAAGAGTTTGGGTGAAGCTAGCTATTTTCTTGGACTGGAGGTTAAAAAGTCAGATAGATATTTTGTCTCTCAAACCAAATATGCAACAAGGTTGCTAGATCGTTTTCATATGGGGGAGTTAAAGACAATGGCAACTCCTATAGACCCTTGCTTGAAGTTATTCAAAGATGGAGGAAGATTTTTGGAAGATGCAACACTTTTCCGACAGCTTGTTGGCATCTTATTCTATTTAACTATCACAAGACCTGACATTTCATTCTCTGTGGGAGTCGTCTCTCAGTTTATGGACAAACCATGTGAAAGTCACTTAATTGCAGCCAAGAGGATTCTTTGCTTCAAAAATGGCACTCTAAATTTTGGGTTATTTTATCAGCAACATACACCATTCTTGTTAATTGGTTTTGTAGATGCAGATTGGGCTAGCGACTTAAATGATAGGCGCTCCAAAACATAGTATTGTTTTAATATGGGATTTTAATATGGGATCGAAAGCAATTTCGTGGTGCAACAAGAAGCAAACTACTGTTGCTTTTTCCAGTTGTGAAGCCGAGTATGTTGCAGCTATTATGGCCACTCAATAGTGTATCTGGCTTAAGAGACTTATTCAAGAAATGCTTTCTTCCTTGGATTACCCAATCCCTATTCATTGTGACAATGAAAGTGCAATTAAGCTTGCTGGAAATCCAGTGTTCCATGCCCGCACAAAACACATTGCAACACATTATCATTTTGTTCGAGAGAAGGTTTTGATTTAGGATATTCAGCTGTAGAAAATTCAAATTGATGATCAAGTTGCTGATATATTTACCAAAGCGCTTGGCAAAGCAAAGTTTGAAGTATTTCGAAGTGCTCTTGGTATTGTCGACAGTAAGTTTGCACTGAAGGGGAGTGTTGCAAATTAGTGAAACTTACAGTTGTCATATCTTAGAAGTTAGAAGCTGTTGAATTAGTCTTTGTTGAATAAGTCTAATTTGTTTTAAGCATTCCATTTATTTAGGAATACTGATTGTCTTCCTTTTTATTTAGGCTAATAATCTCATAAACAAGTTGGTGTTGGTTGAGATCTTTTAGGAAAACTTTTAGTATTTATAATTTGTGTAATCCTAGTTTTGCTTTAGTTCTTCTTTGAGTAATAAAATTCATTTTTAGCATCATCTTTGTTT